AGACGCAGACCTCCGACGACGTGGTCCTCCCCCTCATCCTAAGGGACAAGCCATGGCATCAACAGGAACTTTTCGGAGGTCTGCGCGGATTCCTCGGATCGGCGCTGGGGCCCCCCTGGCGGCGCCTCCGGCCCCGCCTCTGGCGCGCTCCGCGCGCTAGGGAAGGGGGCCCTGCGTCGATCCGAGGAAGCGGACCTGCGAGAGTTCATGTTCATGCCACTGTTTGTTGCCCGATTCCCAGCGCGAGGTCCCCCCATGTTCCGCCTTCCCAAGGACCAGGGTTTCGTCTCGGAGCCGTCTTTTGACGGCGCTCCGGGCCTGGCTGGGCCCCCCGGAGGCCGAGACATGCCGCAAACCCGCCGTCGTTCTTTTTGGCGCAATGACATAGATCTACCCTTTTCCTCCTGAGAGGCAACGCCCCCCGGTGGAAGCCGATAACGTGCAACAGTCACCCGTCGTTTTTTGTTGCTCGCGGCGGGAGCAGGGAACGCTTACCACCTCCACCACCACCGAGCCTGCAAAGGCCCCTCGGGAGCCCCAGACCCCGGTGAGATGCCGGGAGGCCGAGGACGCAAAGGTGCGCGCCGTCCTCGTCGTCCTCGTCGTCCTCGTTGTCGTCGTCGTCGTCGCCGTCGTCGTTGTCGTCTCCTGTCGCCTTCTCCCGTCGTCATCGCCGCAGTCGTCGCCGCCGCCGTCGTCGTCATCGTCGACGTTGGTCGTCGCCGCCGTCGCCGCCGCCGCCGCCGTCGTCACAGTCGTCGTCTTCGCCTTCTCCCGTCGTTGTCGTTTTGTCGTCATCGTCTACCGTCGCCTTCTCCCGTCGTCGTCGCCGCCGTCGCCGCCGCCGCCGTCGTCCTGGTCGTCTCCCGTCGTCGTCGTTGTCGTCTCCCGTCGCCTTCTCCCGTCGTCTTCGTTGTTGCTGGAAGGGATGGCTCGCAGAGCAGGGTCGGGCTCGGCTCGGGCTCTGGTGGCCCCTCTGCCCATTTGAAGCCAGGGGTTGCCAAATATGCTGCTGCTGATGATGATGATGATGATGGTGGTGGTGGTGATGATGATGGTGGCCGTGGTGGTGATGATAACCACGATGATGATAATGATGTTGGTGGTGATGGTGGTGGTGGTGGCGGCGAGGAGTCGGGTCGACCGTGCCGATGCGGGGGCGTTGAGTGCGGTGAGAATGCGGAGGACGAGCAAGAGAGGGAGGATCGGACACGAGAAGCGGATCGATCGAGCAGGGAGAAGGAGGTTCGAGCAAAGAGATGGGTCCATCTCGGGCCCGCCCTGCCACATCCCTTAGCGCTGGACAGCAAGAGTGGGGTCAGCGAATCAGCTCACGTAACTGGCTTCTCGGGCGCCTCCTGTCGCCAGAGGCGCCCATGAATCGAGGAAGAAGGCGCCCGGCGGCGTGGCCGAAACCAGCTGCACGCAGCAGAGTGCCGGCCCCCCGCTTTTTCGCCCCCGCCCCCGTTTGAAGGAGCGTTGCGCAAGAGAAGATGCGCCGTTCGTCCGCCCCAAGACCTCAGTTAGAGGGCAGAAAATCCACACCCATCATGAGCACCCCGACGAACGGAGCCGTTTAGTAAACGCACCCCAATGACGCGGCGCGCGGAGCGCGCCAAGGGCGGCGCCGCAGGCGCCGCCCGGGGGGGGGCCCAGCGCGGATCCAAGAAATCCGCGCGAAACGCCAACAGTTTATGTTTATGCCGTTTTCTTCTCTTAGAAAAACCGCCCAGACCCCGACCACTGGCGTTTACTGAACGGCCCTGGGCGTTTACGAAACAGCCCTGCCCTTTTCCATTCCTTCCTGGGGTGCGTCTACTAAACGGCTTCGCTTGTCGGGGTGCTCATGATGGGTGTGGATGTTGTGCCCTCTTTCTCAGGCCCTGGGGCGGACGAACGCCGCATCTTCGTCTCCGACTTTCCTCCTGCCTCTCATCCATTTCCTCCTCCATCTCCTTCCCCTTCTCCCTCCTCGTTCTCCTCCTCCTCCTCCTCCTTCTCCTCCTCCTCCTCCTCCTCCTCCTCCTCCTCTCCTCCTCCTCCTCCTCCTTCTCCTCCTCCTCCTCCTCCTCCTCCTCCTCCTCTCCTCCTCCTCCTCCTCCTCCTCCTCCTTCTCCTCCTCCTCCTCCTCCCCTCCTCCTCCTCCCTTGATCCGTGCCGCTTCCCACGCCGAGCAGGCGCACGGCGGGCCCGAGGGCCCGAGAGAGGCGGGCTTCCGGCCGCAGCTCGGGCCTCCGGATCTGCCCAGGACGGTCCCCGGCGCCCCTGGAGATCGAGGCTGCCAACGGCGTCCCTGGCCCATGGTGTCCCAGGCTTTCCGCGCCACCCTGGAGCTCCTGGGGCCCCCTCCGGGCCTCGTGGGGGGCTGCTCTGGAGGCCATCCGGTCCTCCCAGGAAATCCTGGGGACATCTTGGGCCTGGGACACCTTCCTGGCAGTGCCCGATGGAGTTGTTCAGACGTGGTCGAACATCTGCAGAAGCTGTCGAAGTTTTCGGCACCCGGGGTGGTTCCCCTCAGCTGCGCCTCGTCGAGAGCGTTCCAGGGAAGCCAGAATCGCCCCGAACGGCAGCCTGAGGCCAGAGTGACGCCCCCTCCTTCTAATCGGCCTTCAGCGCCCTTCTCCTGCTCCCCCCCCCTTCCCCTCCATCTGCCCTCTCTCCATCCTCATCCATCCTCATCCATACCCCTGCTCCTGCTCCGCTCCTCTCCCTTCTCGCTTCCTCTTGAACAGCTGCTTCTGATCAGTTTACACTAGCTTCAAAGACGGAGGCCAGTTCGTTTTCAACACGTGGCTCTCGCCTCAGCGCCGCGGACATGCGGCTTTTGCTGTGCAGCTGCTAGAAGGGTGGAGGGCGGCTTATTTTCAAAATGGGGCTCCTGCTTGATGCCGCCTCAACTTTAAAGCCTAGAAGCTGGAGCACATGTGAAAGGCGCACGGATGGAGGGCGTTTTCTTTTCAAAATGGTGTTTTCGTTTGAGAACTCTCTTCGGATTTAGTGACCAAACACGTAATATGGTGTAGCAGTTTCACGGGCTGGTGGTGTTTTTTTCCAGCAGGAGCTTTCGCTGGATACCTCGCTCCAACGGAGCTCTCGCCTGAATGGTACAGACGGGGCCCGTATCGTAAGGATGCGCGATAAGGATGCCAGGGCCTTGGACGTCCATTTCGAAGCTTTTCGAGAGGGGCGCGGCCAACGAAAGTGACCAAGGATGGACCGAGGATTCAAGGATGCAAGGGTACCCTTGGGAAGGTTGCCCATCCTTGCTATGCGGGTTGACTGTAGGCACGCAAGGTACTCGTATTTCGATGGGGCGCTTCCTGTAATGAAGGAGACGGCTGATGGGGAATTATGAGGCGGGGACTTGGGACAGGAGGGTGTATTGCAGCATTACTGATGCATCCTAGGCCTGATTTATGCTCTTCCTCCTCCTCCTCCTTCTGCTCCTGCTCCTCTCTCCCGGTTCCCTGCTCCCTACATCATGTTTTTTTCTCGCGCGCTCGCCCTCCTCCTCCTCCTCCTCCACCTCGTTGACTTGACTTGAGCATCCAATTCGAGAAATATGTCACATGCACCACTCTGTCTGCTTTGGGCACGCCTTGAAAACAGACACCAGGGCTAATCGAACGGCGTCGCCGCGGAGTCGAGTAAACCCTCAACTAACTCGGTCGGAACGCCCACTGCCTGCGGAGAGGGGCAAATATCCACAACAGATGTGCGAGTAGACCCCGCCCCACCTCCCCCCCGAAAAACAACAACACCAACAGCACCCGCTTATCTCCCCCCCCCCCCCCCCCCGCAAAGCACTGCCCAAGCGGCCTCAGGAATGACGAAGCTGGCCTCCTCCTCCTCCTCCTCCTCCTCCTCCTCCTACTCCTCCATTCCTTTCCCTTATATGTAACTCCTCCCTGTCGCACCCCGAAGCGTGTCGGTATGGCGGGCTGGGCGTTTCGCCTGAGACGTCCTCACCACCTATGATCCTGACGCTTGAAACTTGCAAGAGCTTCACGGCTTGAAGGCGGGTGGTTTTCATGAGGTGGTTTCCGCCTTCGCTCCGCACACATTCGTCTTAAACGTTCGCAAGGGTTTCACGGATGGAGGGCGGGTCGTTTTCAACATGCGGCTCTCGCATTAGGGCCGCGCACATGCGTCTGCAGACGTTTGTAAGAGTCTCACGGAAAGAGGGCGGGCCGTTCTCAAAATGTGAGTCTCGCCCTAGCGCCGCGTACATTCGTTTTCAGCGTTTGCAGGAGTTCCACGGATGCAGTGCGGTTCCATCTCGAAATGTGACTCTCGCCCTAGCGCTGCGAACATTCGTCTGAAACATGTGCAAGAGAGGATGGAGGGCGGCTCCTGTTCAAAATGCGGTTTCCGTCTGAGCGCCGCCCACATTCGCCTGACGAGTTTACACACAGTTTCAAGGATGTTCACGGCTGACGTCCCAGAAATGGTGTTCTGTTACGGTGTAGGATTGTCAGGGTGCAACAGTCACGTTGATTCGCGGCGTTGAAGGTCAAGGATCGGTATTCTGGCACGATGCAGGGTAGTCAAGGCGCAACAGTGACGTTGATTCGTGGTGTTGCAGTCCGGAGAAATTTGTTTTGGTATGGTCCAAGATAATCAAACGATTGTCTTTCAACGGGGCACTTCCTTAAGTGAGAATAACTCCTGGTAGGGGCCAAGAACCTGGAGGGACGGTTTATTACAACATCGTTGGTCGGTCTTGGGTCTACACTGCTCCTTCCCCTCCTTCTCGCGGGGGCGCGCAAACATGGATTAGCGATCCATGGATTTGGCGCGCGGTCGCCAAATCCATGGATCGGGGGAGGTACCCTCCCCAACATGCGGCCGGTGCTGCCTCTTTCGGCGGCGGACGTCCGCGATTTCCCATGGAAACGGGACCCGTCGCTAATCCACGCCCCCTTGATCCATGTTTGCGATCGCCTGATTCTCCTCCCCCTCCTCCTCCTCCCCATCCTTCCCACCCCGCCTGGTGGCGCTTTCTCTGTTCTTCCAGTTGCCCCCGCAGCCGATGGCCCACTTGGCGGAGGTCGCGCAGGTCCCGACCGTGAAGCAGTGCTCCTGCGCGGACCGCCACCCAGGGGCACGGCCCCACCGCGCGGGGTGCGGGGACGACGAGGCCCGAGGAGGAGGAGGAGGAGGAGGAGGAGGATTGAGGAGGAGAATCGAGGAGGAGGATCGAGGAGGAGGAGGATCGAGGAGGAGGAGGAGGAGGAGGATCGAGGAGGACAAGGAGGAGGAGGAGGAGGAGGAGGAGGAGGAGGATCGAGGAGGAAACCTCCCCGAACCTCGATCGATCCCCGGACTTGGACCCTCCGACCTCGATCCTCGAGCGACGACGGCGACGAGGCCCCCCCTCGCCCTGGGGCTGCCCAGGGCCGCCAGGAGGCCGCCGAGGGCCCCCGTGGACGACCTCAACCTCGGGTCCTCGAAGGGGGACTGCCTGCCAAACCACCCCAACCCAACCCGAAGACCCGAATCTGACCAGAATTTCGGGTTGGGGGGGGGGTACGGGTTTCATGTGTGTGTGTTTTTCCATGCTCCTTTCCTCCCCACCCCCCACTGGAAATGGAGCACAAATTGAGGCCTGCGGGTTTGGTTGGGGTGGTTTGGTGGGTGGTGGTGGGGGGACGACGAGGCCCGGGGTCGGTCAGCGTCGAATCGGGGAAACCGGGCCAGATCGTAAGGTGCGTCGGATCGGCTGCTGCTGCTGCTGCTGCGCCTCCTCCTGGTCACAAGGCCGCCCCCCTCGCGCGAGCCCCCGCCCCCCGTGCGCGCCGCCAAGGACGAGGGCATCCAGGGGCAAGATCAGTCAGTATCGGTTCAGGACATCGGATTGAATCGAAACGTGCACGGGAAAGGGCTGCGTCGGACGGAATCGAGATCGAATCGGATCGGCCGCGCCGAGATGAACAACAGCGACGTGCAAGCATCGGGCCGCGTCGGATCGCCAGAATCGAAATCGATTCGGATCGATCGGATCAAAATGGACATTGAGGTATGGCTCCTCCTCCTCCTCCTCCTGTTCCTGCTGCTGCTCTTCCGCCTCCTCGTCCTCCTTCTCCTCCCTCCCTCCCTACTCCTCCGGCTCCGCCTCTTCATCCTCCTTCTCCTCCTCCCGTTGTCTCCCTCCTTTCGCCCTTCCTCCGCCCCCCCTCCGTCTCCGCCCCCGCCTTCTGCTCCTCCCCCTGCTCGAGGAGGAGGAAGAGGATAAGGAGGACGAGGAGAAGGAGGAGAAGGGAGAAGGGACCTGCTCCTCCCCCTGCTCCTCCCCCTGCTCCTCCCCCTCCTGCTCCTCCACCTCCTCCTCTTCGTCCTCCTCCTCCTCCTCCTCCTCCTCCTCCTCCTCCCTACCTCGGCGCCTCGCCTGCAACGCTGGCACTGGAGCGACCGCTGGGGCGGCGGGCTGTCTCTGGCGGCTGGCAATATCGTTCTCGCGCACGCCGCCGCCGCCGCCGCCGCAGAGGTCGTGGTCGTGGTCGTGGTCGTGGTCGTGGTCGTGGTCGTGGTGGTCGTCGTTGTCGGTCCTGCTTTTCGTTGTCGATCGACAACGGTCGTCGTCCTTCATCGTCCTCGATCGTTTTTCTTCCATGGCCGTCTATCGTCGTGTCTGTCGTCGTCTACGGTCGTTTACCCCTGTGAGGTGAGCCCCCCGCCACCCGCCGCGAGGGCCCCCTCTCTGTGCGCGCTATCCCCATGCCAGGACTTCTTCGGCGCACGCTGTCCCCAAAGGTGATGCACGGCGCGTGGTCGGCGGGCCGGCGGCGCCACATCGCACGCCCCATCCTTCCAACGCCGAGCGCAGGGATGGCTGCCGCTTGCTGCGAAGAGCGGCCGGTTCCTGGGGGGGCCGGGGCGGAGCGCTGGGGGACGCGCTGGCACCCGCCCAACGTGCGTTCGGACCGCTTTCGGTTCGGAGGAGGAGGAGGAGGAGGAGGAGGAGGAGGAGGAGGATGGGAAATGGGCAACGGGCCATGGACAGGCCTGCCTCCAAAGAGGCCTGGTCCGAGAACAGAGCGAGGGCGGGACGCAGCAGACGCAGGGCATCAGGTCACAGAGGCCTTGTCAAGGAGGAGTTGGGAGAGGAGGGGCAGCAGGCCGCCTCGGATGTTCGGTCTTCTTCGATCTTCGATCACCATCATCGATCCTCGATCCCCTCCATCACCTCGGTCCTCTCGATCCTCGACCCGCCATCCTCGATCCCCGATCCCCTCGTCCTCATCCGAGGTATCTGGTCCCCCTCCCCTCGTGCGCCTCGATCAACTCGCCCCTCTCGATCCTCGACCCACCATCCTCGACTGGCGATCCCGTCGTCCTCACCCGAAGTCTCCGATCCCCATCCCTAATCAGCCTCGAACTTATCCCTATTCCTAAGATCGACAAGCCAAAAGGCGATGACAATCTCAGGGATGCGCCTTCGAACACCGAGGGATTCATTCAGATCGGCATTGAGACGAGGCGATAACAATCATTGGCAATGAGGCTCTGTTCCAGCCTGGTAAGTCCCCTCGTGCGCCTCGCGCACCTCAGCCCCTCGATCCTTGACCCGCCATCCTCGACCCCCGGTCCCCTCGTCCTCCTCCGAAGTCTCCAGTCGCCTCGGACTCATCCGAAGTCTCCGATCCCCTCGTCCTCATCCGAAGTCTTCGGTCCCCTCGTCCTCATCCGAAGTCCCGCGATTCCCTCCGTGCGCGCCGACGACTCCCCCTGGGTGCCCAGAGCGCACGGCGGCCGCTCCTCGCCGCTCGCCTGCTTGAGCGCCTCCCCGACCTCCGGGAACTCCTTGGGGGACGTCCCGGGGCGCGCCCCGGCAGCGTCCCGGAGCCAGCGTCCGGGGTGGCGCAATCGGAGGCGCGCCCTGGAGGCAAGACACCTCCTCCTCCTCCTCCTCCTCCTCCTCGTCGTCATCATCATCATCATCATCATCATCATCATCATCATCATCATCATCATCATCATCATCATCATCACCATCATCATCATCATCAGCATCATCAGCATCATAAACATCATCATCATGATCATCATCATCATCAGCATCATGACCATCAGCATCATCATCACTATCATCAGCAACATCATCAGCATCTGCATCATCATCATCCTCATCCCCATCCCCATCTTTATCCTGATCTTCGAACTCGTCAGCATCATCATCATCATCATCAGCATCATCATCACCATCATCAGCATCAGCCTCGGCATCAGCATCTGCCTCATCAACATCATCAGCACCACAATCACCATCACCATCATCACCGTCATCATCATCAGCATCACAATCAACATCAGCAAATCATCACAATCAGCAGTATTAGCAGCATCAGCATTAGCATCAGCCTCATCAACATCATCATCGTGTCGTCATCGCCATCAGCATCATCGCCATCGTCATCAGCATACTCAGCATCATCAGCATCACCACCACCGTTGTCATGATAATCATCACCATCTTCACTATCACCAGCATCATCATCAGCATCATCACCACCAGCTTCAGCATCTGCATCACTATCACCATCATCATCATCATCATCCTCATCACCATCATGGTCACCACCATCATCATCATCATCAGCATCAACACCAATCATCACCATCACCATCACCATCATCATCAATATAAAGATCAACATTAGCTTCTGAATCTTCTCGTCACCACCATCACAAAGCCATCACCAACCTAATGGTCATCAGCAAGATCATCAGCAACAGCATCACCATCATCATCAGCACCATCATCATCAACATCATCATCGACATCATCATCATCATCTGACAATCGTCATCCTCATCATCATCATCATCATCGTTGTCACCATCATCACCGTCACCATCACCAGCATGTGCATCTGCCACATTGCAATCACCATCATAATCATCACCATCATTACCACCATCATCGGCATCGGCATAAACATCAACATCATCATCACCATCCACATCATCGCCATCAGCATCATCATAATCATCGTCATCATTATCATCGTCATTGTCATCATCATCATCATGAGCATCGTCACCATCATCGTCATCATCGTCATCGTCGTCATCATCATAAACGTCAACGTGATCATCATCATCACAATCAGCATCACTATTATTATCGCCATTATCATGATCTTCATCAGTAGCATCGCCTTTATCATCGTCGTTATCATGATCATTATTATCATCATCACCATTCTCAGTCTCATCATAAGCATCAGCATCTTGAACACTTCATCAACACCACCATCACCATCATCGCCATTAGCAACAACACCATCATCAGCATCCGCAGTATCATCATCATGCGCATCGCTCATCATAATCACATTCATCAGCACGGTCATCGTCATCGTCATCATGCTCATTATCATGTTCGACATCGCCATCGTCATCATCGTCACCAACATCAGCATCACCGTCATCGTCGTCATCATCATCATTCTCATCAGCATGATCACCATCATCAGCATCATCATCATCACCTGCATCATCATCGTCATCATCGTCACCATCACCGTCGTCGCCATCAGCATGATCATGATCATCATCCTCCGCATCAGCATCAGCATCAAAATTATGACCATCATCATGGTCAGCATCATCATCACTGTCATTGTCATCGTCATCGCTATCACCAGCATCAGCATCATCGCTACGATCATCATCATGATCAGCAACACCATCATCATCGTCAGCCCCAGCATCACCAACATCATTGCCATAGTCATCACAATCTTCATGATTATCAACATCGTTATCATACGTGCACTAGGATCATCAACCCAATCATTAGCAGCACCATCAATCTGAGTATCTGCGCCATCAGTGTCATTACCATCACAATGGCCATCAATATCACCATCATGATCATCAGCAGCAGCCTCATCATGAGCAGCATCATCCTCGCCAGCATCATCATCATCGTCATCATCGTCATCATCATCATCATCGGCACCATCGTCACCATCAGCATCATCCACAGCATCGTCATTCTCATCCACAGCGTCACCATCGTCATCGGCATCGCCACCATCATCAGCAACGTCATCATTCCAATCATCAGGAGGACCATCCTCAGCACCATCATCAGCATCAGCGTCAGCCTTAGCACCTGCATTATCACCATCATCACCATCATCGGCCACCATCATCACCAGCACCATCATCACCAGCATCCGCATCAGCGTCATTCAGCAACATCATCCTCACCATCACCATCACCGTCACCATCAACACCATCCCCACCATCAGCAACATCATCCTCACCATCAACACCGGCATCGTCATCATCGCCACCAGCATCATTATAATGATCATCGGCATCGTCATCGCCATCATCATCGACCGCATCTTCATCGTCATCAGCTCATCGGCGACATTATCACCGTCATCATCATCAACCACATCGTGAAACACCGTCATCATCAGCATCCTCATCATCTTCAACATCACCATCCTCATGCACATCATCATCACCAGCATCGGCGTCAGCATCAGCATCATCATCAGCACCAACATCATCATCGACATCATCACCATCGTTATCGTCATCGTGATCATTATCATCATCGTCACCATCATCATCATCATCATCCTCATCGGCAGCATCGGCATCATCACCATTAGCAGCAGCACCATTTGCACCAGCATAGGCATCAGCATGGACATCATTATCATCACCATCACCAACACCATTACCATCACCACCATTCGCATCAGCAACATTATGAGCATCAGCATCAGCATCATTATCGTCATCGCCATCGTCATCACTATCATGATCGTAATCGTCAATCTCATCATCTTCATCACCTGAATCATCATCATCATCGTCGTCCTCACTGTCATCATCATCATCACCAGCATCGTCATCATCATCAGCATACTTATCATCACCATCATCATCGCCATCATCACCACCAGCATCAGCATGTGCATTATCATCACCATCATCACCACCGTTGACCATAATCATCATTACCATCATGATCATCATCATCATCATCTTATGCATCAGCATCGGCATCATGAGCATCATCATCTTCCGCATCGCCATCGCCATCGTCATCATTACCAACAGCATCATTATGATCGTCTTCGCCATCATCAAGAGCATAATCAACGTCACCATCATCGTTCTCACCATCATCAACATAATCAACATCATCATCGTCCTCATCGTCATCCGCGGAATCGTCATCGTCATCATTCGCATCATCATCATCATCCTCATGTCCATCATTATCAGCATCGTCATCGTCATCATCATCCTACTCCCACTCCCAATTTTCAGCATCAGCATCAGCATCAGCCTCAGCATCTGCAGCATCACCATCATCATCACCATCACCGGAATCACCCTCACACCATCTCGTCATCACCAACATCATCAGCATCGTCATCATCATCACCAACATCATCAGCATCGTCATCATCATCATCGATATCGTCGTCCTGATCATCATCAGCATTGTCATCACCAGCATCATCACCATCATCATCATCATCGTCACCGTCGTCGTCATCATCAGCGTCCCGCCATCATCATCATCACAGTCGCCACGACCATCGCCATCGTCATCTTCATCATCATCGTCATTGCCACTGGCATCATCATCATCACCTCCACCATCATCATCAGCATCAGCATCATCGTCTGCATCTGCATCACCATCATCACCATCATTACCATCACCATCACTACATCATCGCCGTCATCATCATCAGCACAAGCATCATCATCATCACCATAGGCACCATCATCATCATCGCCCCCATCATCATCACCATCAACATCATCGTCGCCGTCGTCATCGTTAAGTCATCATCATCAGCATCATAGTCACCTTCATCGACATCATCATCGTCATTCTGTCGTCAGTATCAGTGTCATCATCACCATCATCACCATCGGCATCACCATCAGCATGTGCATCACCATCATCATCCTCAGCATCATCGTCATTAGCAGCAACATCATGATCAAGATCTCATCATCATCATCATCGCCATCATCATCAACACAACAATCGTCCTCGTCAGTGTCGCATTCATCATCGTCAGTACCATCGTCGTTATCATCGCCGTCAACATCATCATCATCAGCATCATCATTCACAACACCATTCCCATCATCATCATCAGCATACTCAAAGACAGCATCACCATCGTCATCGTCACCGTCATCCATCACCATCATCATCACATCAACATCAGCATCATCAACATCAACATCATCACCACCACCACCACCACCATCATCATCATCATCATAATCATCATCATCATCTCCGTCCTCCGCCGCGCCGTCCTCTACCGCTCCGCCACCTCTGGCAGGTCCAATCCGCTGGCAGAGGCTGCCAAGGGTCTGGCCCGGCGCCATGTGAAGGGTGAAGAGGGGAGAGCAGGGAGGAGGAGGAGGAGGAGGAACAGGAGGAGGAGGAGGAGAGGGAGGAGGAGGAGGAGGAGGAGGAGGAGGAGAAGGAGGAGGCGGAGGAGAATGGGGAGGAGCAGGATACGACGCTCATGGGACGCCCGCCGCGCTGAAGCGACCAGGCGGGCACCACAGAGGGAGGGCCAGCAAGATACTGCCCCTCCAGGCCTGGCAGGCACGAGCACTCCCACCAAAGGATCTCGGAGCAGCTCGAGCGAGGCACGAAGAGAGAGAGAGAGAGAGAGAGAGAGCACGGCGCGGGGCGGCCCTGCAGGTTGGCCAGGAAGAGGGCGGGGCGCGTCGCGCGTGTCGCAAGGCAAGCACGCGCGCGCGCGCCTCTCTCGCCCCCGCCCCCCCG